CTCTGGCTGTGCGGCTTTCTTTATATCTTCTTATTTTGTAATTTAGTTATTCATATTGCAGAGGGCTCTAGGAGCTTTTTGTCGTTACTTCTTTAATGAGCTCTTAGACCTTAACACTTGAGATAGATTTTGTGAAATTTTACTTAACTATTGTACCTGTACGTATGGCGTATTAAACCGAAACTAACTAAACGCTGTGGAAAAATCAAAATTGACATATTGATGACATTATTATCTCAAAAATTGCATTTTAAGTCAATAATGTGTTTTAGAAATTACTAAATTCATACTGAAGACTTTCTCACAACATTTGTTGAAGTTGTAACATGACTCCATTTTAAACTGGTTTAATACAATATTGTTAAGTACCACAGCTTATTTTCTTGCCAGTGTTTCTTCTAATCTCAGCGTGCCTGTTGACAAGAGTAATCATTATTGATCAATCAAAAGGCAGGTAACTAAATAATCCAAAAATTTTGTGATTTTTATTATTAACAATATTTTGATGTGTGTACTGAGAAGCTATATCCAAGTTTAACTGCCACTTTGAATTCTACTATGTATATTTCCTCCAGCTATCCAGTTTCCTTAGATGACAAGAAAGCACAAACGGAAAACCTCCACATTTTAAAAGGAAATACATTGATAAAACATGATTTCCATGGAAACACTGACCAAACCCTATAATGAAAAAACTTTCCAACTCACGTTGGAAAAATGAAAAGAAATGAAGAGCCAATATTTCTTGAAAACGAAATAACAGACATTTGAAGTTTGTGCATACTACAATTTACCTAATAAGAAACTGTTGAAGGTTGTTGAACTGCTCGCCTTTAACTGCTAGAAGTTGATCACATGGGGGAAGCGGTCATAAGGTGTTGTTGTTTTCTGGATGTAAAATGGCAGTTGACTCTTGAGCTGATCATTTTTCAGAACTTCTCAAGCCTGCAAAATAAATAAACAGGATGTGATGCCTGCTTCTCACCTTCTGAAATCCTTCACTCTAATTTTTCAAGGCCATTGCAAATGTCTTATTAATTACTTATATCATACATTTTTTCAAATGTTTCACTTGACTGTAATCAATTTGTAGCCATCGTTTGAAAGGCAAAATTTTCAGAAATCAAGAGTGAATCAGAAACAAGTTATCTTTCCATTGAAATATTCGAGAATATCAAGTCAACGACCCAAAGTTAATGTTTTGTTTACAAGACTTTCTAGTTAAACGATAAATGTGAATAATATACAGTGTAACGAATTCAAGAAAGTCACATCTTAGTTTGCAACGGAATCGCAAAGATATCTTTTCTGTGAAAAATGCATATTTTTTCTCTAAGATGTGTCTTTCACCAGGGTAGCTTCTAGAAATGAATTAGGATTGGTTACCTTTACAACTTACTACAAATTTCTCTAAACATCCTCAGCTTTTGAATCCACCCAGAAAATCAACCCTGCCCTGGTAGTTATTTGCTAACCTTTGCTGATAAAACGACTTAAGAGATGGAAACGATCGCCAATGAGAACTATGCTTGATCGCGCCAACCGCTTGTCATCCTCACCGGACCCTTTTTCAGAAGAATTTCAGGATCTGAAAACAATGTTTCTGAAACTGAAATTTCCTGAGAAACTTATTGATTCTACTTTCAAGAGATTCCACGCTTCCCAAGACCAGAACCAAAACAGAATTGAGCCAGTCCAAAGCCCTGTACTAATCATCTTGCCTTTCAAAGACCCAGAAATCCGCCGACTCCGAACGCCCACAACTAAGCGACCATCGATCGTGTATTACAACCAGTTTTCACAAGTAGGAAAATCTCGGAAGATGTGAAAGTCACGAAAACAAAGCCCTCACTGGTAAACCAACAATGAGTTATGTATGAATTTAATTGTAACTCGTGTGATGCGAATTATATAGGCTACACGAGCCGTCACCTCNACACCTGAAACATTGGCAGCTTTTAGCTACACATCTCATCTGTATGTGGGCACTACTGGTTCAAAAATAGCATAAATGACACCACTCACCAGCTCTCGCCAACAGTAACTTCATCTCTGTGTTAACACCCTCATCCCCGCTTAGTTTGAAGCTTGCCAAATGACTGCTGACATCTCTCGTGCAGTCCTTTAGACTAACGCAGTCGAGGTGTCCTGGATAGTCGCTCGATTGCCCGCAAGTGCTGGACCTACTTTGTAGCGTAATGTAGCTACAGAAAAATGCCATGTGAAGAATACAAACACTTAGGGGCACAAAATGGCACAGCTAAGCCAACAGCAAGAATGGTCTCATATGTTCCTGGTTTTCCAGTTCAATGTAACCAATAATTTTACCGCACTTTGCTGTGCACGTACATGTTGAAGACCTAAATGTAATAACTGACCTTAAATGTAATAAACTCCTAAATGTAATAACATTTCAGACAGATATCAATTAAGTGTCTGGACATCCAATGTACATTTGTGATCTTTGAAGATAACCGGCGAGCGGCCTGCGATCGGCGAGTTGGTGTTCTTTTTTAAA